CCTGCAACATCAGAGTGCAGCGCCACATTAAAAACGCACTACAATGACAATAGTTTTAAGAGATTTGAAGCATTTTTTTTTTATTTAAAGCTTTCGTGACTGCAGGGATTCATATTCTTGGTTCTTTCGGTAAAGTCACGTATAAGGGAAACAATAAAATAAAATAATTTATTTTCGGTAAAGTCACGTAGAAGGGAAACAATAAAACAATAATAAAATAATAATAAAATATTTTATTGTTTCCCTTCTACGTGACTTTAACGAAAGAACCAAGAATACGATTTGAAGCATGTTTTATTTTAAAAATGGAAATGTCTTTTTTTTGGGGGGGGGGGGCAGAGCTTTGTGACGTCATATTTGAGGGGGGTGTCTGACTTTTTGTGACGCCGTGTGACGAGGCGGGCGGGCGGGGGGGGGTCAAAAATCATCCACAATCGCGTGACGTCATTTATGGACGGCCCCAAAGACCCAGTCGCTTGCCCGACAGGTAGAGTTGCCGGTTGCGATGACGTATCATTGTCGCCCGAATCGCCTCGGCTGTGAGAACGACGGCGCGAATAACCAAGTGTGCTCAAAAGCTTCACCCATTAAATCCATCCATCGAATCGCGTGCAGTCAGCATCGGACTGCACGTGCGTTCGAATGTTACGCGATTGACATATTTATTTCGGCTGATGGATTATAACAGAGACGAGGTAAATTTCGATTTAAAGCTTTCGTGACTGCAAGGATTCATCTTCTTTGGTTCTTTCGGTAAGGTCACGTAGAATGAGAATAAAATAATAAAATAACACAATAAAATTCTCACGACGTTTCGGCCACAACGCAAGCGGCCGCGTTGTGGCCGAAACGTCGTGAGAATTTTATTGTGTTATTTTACTGGTAAGAACGAAGTTGTAAACTGAGTGTACCAGCCTGCAATAGATTAATGTGTCCGTCCGTCCGTCCCCTTTCAATACTTTAACGAAGTGAAATCTCGTGCTGTTGGGGTGTAAAAATAAAATTGCGCAAAATTCCAATGTTCCTACCAGCCCACCCTGCAGGGACCTGTTATTATTCTATTCTCATTCTACGTGACCTTACCGAAAGAACCCAAGAAGAGAGACGAGGTAGAACGGTGGTGGGGGGGGTGGGGGGAATGAACCGTTCTGGAATCGTGACCCGTGAACTGCGCCAGTTCTGAGCAGCGTTGGTGTACGGTGCTATTTCAGGAATATTTTGATGGTTTTTTTCCTGGATTTTCTGTTTGCACAGTCACACATAGTCACTTTAAGATGTTTTCTTGTTCGTGTTTTTTTTTGCTTGTTGCGGTTGCACCCGATTCAAGAGCCGAATGGCTCACAGGGCTATACGAAAATAAATGAAACTATGGAACTATGTCGGTGGAGATGGCCAATTGGAAGCGTGCCGGTGCTTATCACAGCAGCGGCTTTTGGTGAGCCATCTCACTCGCTCACCACACGCACTGCAGGTTACGCCACTTGTCGAAATTCAATCGGGATGTTTCACTTTTTGCACGTCGAGCAAGGAGCATGAATACTCTTTGGTTTTTTTCTCCTCGGTAAAGTCACGTAGGTAAAAATAAATAAATGAAAACCAAATTAAATCACGACGTTTCGGAGGCAACACAAGCTTCCCGTCTTCAGGCGGAACAGTCACAGCAGAATAGCTGTATCAAGTGGGGAGCTCTTGAGACGACCGAGATTATACACAGGTTAAGGAGCGTGAAACCATCATAAGGACGTCATACTCTTTGGTTCTATTCGGTAAAGTCACGTAACAAACAACAAAAAATAAAAAATCACGACGTTTCGGCCACAGTTGTATTGTATTTTGTGTTTACTGTGTGAGTGAGTTATCGATAAGTTGGCATGTAATGGCTGTGTATTTTTGAGCTTGTGTATTTTTGAGCATGTGTAAATGATATTCGAGAGTTCGTGTGTCCGTTCGTTCACTCGTTGATAGTTGTGTTGGTCAGCTGACATGTATATATGTGTGTTGGTTGTACGGCATTAGTGTCTGTACGGTTTTAATATTGGTGAGCTGGTATGTATGTATGACACGGTGTCAGTGTTACGGTATAATAGTACGTATATGTTCTAGATTTGAAGCTTTCGTGACTGGAAGGATCCATACTCTTTGGTTCTATTCGGTAAAGTCACGTAGGTAAAAAATTAAACAACAAAAACCACGACGTTTCGGCCACAACACAAGTGGCCTTCATCAGGTGAAGGGACCGTGCTGTTGTTTGTTACGTGACTTTACCGAATAGAACCAAAGAGTATGGATCCTTGCAGTCACGAAAGCTTTAAATCGAGTTCGGACGTCATCCTCGCGGCAGCGGCCTTTAGGCTGAGCCATCAAAGACGGCGGTCATCGCATAGCTTCCAGACGCGCTTCTGCGGCCGTCTGGAACGCTTTTCCTCCTTCCGAAATTTGGAAGGCACAGGAGCTATGCACTTATGCTAAACCACCAGTTCTGCTGAACTGGTGGTTTAGCATAATTGCGCAAGGCTTGAGAGCTTTCGTGCGTGCATTGCCCATCCGTGTGCTATGGGAAATACAGTTGAGGCCTGGTTAATTATAGACGCGACCCATTAAGTGTGTTTGCTCTGAGCAGTCACCAATGTGCGTCCCAGGAGCCCGAGAGCCTTGAACCCCTCCCACGCGCCTAGACATTGCTCATCTCATGAATGCCAACACCTCTCGTGTCCACGGCCAAAAACCAATACCCCCCCACCCACACAAACATCTCCCGTCACCATTACGAATACCTACACGCACTGCCGCCTCCACTCACCCAAAAGTATCTGCCAACCACAAACCCGGCTGCCCTCGCCATCCCATCACCTTCAAGTCGCCCTCTGAACCCCCTCAACCCGTCAACATTTCCACTCACCCGACCGTATATGTCCCACAATTCCCACTGATACCTCCACTCACCACCACCGATCCACTCACCACCGAGCCACTCCTCACCACCACCGATCCACTCACCACCACCACCGATCCACTCACCACCACCGATCCACTCCTCACCACCACCACCGATCCACTCACCACCACCACCGATCCACTCACCACCACCACCGATCCACTCACCACCACCACCGATCCACTCCTCACCACCACCACCGATCCACTCACCACCACCACCGATCCACTCCTCACCACTACCGATCCACTCCTCACCACCACCACCGATCCACTCACCACCACCACCGATCCACTCCTCACCACTACCGATCCACTCCTCACCACCAGCACCACCACCACCGATCTACTCACCACCACCACTACCGAGCCACTCCTCACCACCACCACCGATCCACTCACCACCACTACCGAGCCACTCACCACCACCACCACCGATCCACTCACCACGACCAAAGTATTCTCAGGATTATGATACCCACTTATTCTCTGCAGTATTTTTTTAAAAGTCAAATCGGTAGGTGTGCGCGTGTGAGCCACGATTTGCAATGATTTTCGCACCTCCAATTTAGCACGGTTGGCTACGTACGGTGCGAAAGAAGTTCAACATGCACGCACGCCGCATCCATCTAGCCTTATCTTGTCCTCACTTCCATGAACATGTTCACAGGATAAATACATGTAGGGTACATTAATACTGGTAGGAACGAAGTTGTAAACTGAGTGTACCAGCCTGCAATAGATTAATGTGTCCGTCCGTCCCCTTTCAATACTTTAACGAAGTGAAAAATTCCAATGTTCCTACCAGCCCACCCTGCAGGGACCTGTTATAGTATTATGGATATGCGCCCTCTATACTCTGGTTCTTTCGGTAAAGTCACGTAGGTAAAAAATGAAAGTAAATTAAATCACGACGTAACGAAAACATAGAATGCGCCCTCTACCTTGCACTCTAGTAGTAGTGCCTTAGGGGCCGTCCATAAATGACGTCACGCACCTGGGGGTGGGTCAGACATGTGTGACGATGTGTGACGAGGGGGGGGGTGTTGAGAAATGTGACGTCACATCAAAATTCGCAACTTTAAATAAATATAGACAACACCTTCTACTTAATTAAATACACTTTTTAAATAAATGTTTTCTCCTACAACATCAGAGTGCAGCGCCACATTAAATACGCACTACAATGACAATAGTTTAAAGCGATTTGAAGCATGTTTTACATAATTTTTTTTTGGGGGGGGGCAGAGCTTTGTGACGTCATATTTGAAAGGGGGGGTCTGACTTTTTGTGACGCCGTGTGACGAAGGGGGAGGGGTAAAAAATCGTCCAAAATCGCGTGACGTCATTTAGGGACGGCCCCTTACGCCGTCGCCCCTCACCTATGTCCTCCCCTCCGTCAAATTCTGCATAACTCTAGCCCCACCCCTCACGCCGTAATCCCGCCCCCTTCCCGGGCCCCTCCTCTAGCCACGCCCATCACCCGCCACCTATAAGCACACCCATCACCACACAGCACCGCCCCTCTATTATAACCACGCCCCCCCATAGTCGCGCCCTTAACCACGCCCTCGCCTCCTGCCCCTCATCTGTAGCAACGCCCCCTAAGCGACAGCCACTCTCAAGTTAACCATAACCACGCCCTTCCAAACGTGGCACCGACCCCTTTAACGTAGTAGCCCCGCTCATGGCCTCAGTGTGGGTCCCGCCGTGGGAGGCCCCGCCTCCTCGTAGCCCCCCCCACGGCGTGAGTGGGCCCCGCTTCTCACCACGGAAGGCACGCCCCCTCTCCTCTCGTCGCCACGGCGTTTAGTGGACCCCACCCCCCTGGTAGCTCCGCCCCCCTAGTAGCCCCGCCCACTGCATCAGTGGGCCCCGCATTGGTGTCGCCCCGTGTTTACACCGAGAGTGGCTCCGCCCCCGCTACTGCTGCCCCCGCCCCCACCGCGCGTTCTCTGCGATTGCGTCGCGAGAACCGGCGGCAGCAGCAGCACACGGGCAGGCAGTGCGTGCGTGTGTGAGACAAGTGTGTGTGTGTGACAAGTGTGTGTGTGACAAGTGTGTGTGTGTGACAAGTGTGTGTGTGTGGGTGTGTGACAAGTGCGTGTGTGTGTGCGAACGGTGCGTGTGTGCGACATAGGCGTGTGCCACAGAGGCGCGCGCATGTGCGACATAGGTGCGTAGTGCGCGCGCGTGAGCCACACGTGCGTGTGTACCCACGTGTGTGTGTGTACACGTGTGTGTGTGTGTACACGTGTGCGTTCGTGTGTGCTCAACGGCAGAGGTCGCGTTCATTGCGCGACAAATGCGTGGCGAGAGAGAGGAAGAGGAGGAGAGTCGGGCAGGACGGAGAGCGGAGACTGACGCCACAACATCATCAACCTCATCAGCAGCAGCAGCGGCATCATCACCACCTCGTCACGTGACTGACACCACTGCCACTGTATATCTCCTGACATCATCATCAGCAGCGGCGGCGGCAGCGTCGTCATTGCTATTACGTACAGACACCGTTACACCATCACCTCCCCACTGAATTCGCTGTTCACCTCGTCACATTTTCATCGTCACCTCGTCATCGCCACATCGTTCACGCGACTCATCCTTACACCTCCCCCCCCCCCGACGTCGTCATCGGAATCATCACCGCGCGAGACACCTCGTCGTCCAGCCGTCACGCAGCAAGCCCCCCTTTTAACTTCGTCGTCACATCACCTCGTCGCTTCGCGCTCACCTCGTCACTTTCATAACCATCGTCGCGCCGCGACTGACCTCAAATTGCGACCTCGTCACGAACGCCGTCGCCAACCTCCTTCGACTGCCAGCCAGCGTTGTTTGCGGCGTGCGTCGTTCATTCACTTCCACCTCGTTACTGACGCAGCTCGCTATAACATCATCTGCATCACCTCGTCGCAAGCCACCGTCGTCGCACCGATCGTTGTCGCAAGCATCGTTGTCATATTATAGACATCGTCATCTTTGCACTGTCCCGTTATATATTTTTTTCTTTCCACCTACACCCCCCCCCCACACAAATCTCAACTACCTCGTCACGTAAACTAATCAACATTTGACATCGCAATACGTTGCCATCACCTCCACCACCCTCGTTATTTATTCTGAACGTCGTCATGATCTGATGCGATTATTTGTTACCACCTCTTCACACCGTCGCAAGCATTATCCCATCTAACGTCATCATCATCACCTCGTCACTCGGCATCACCAACCACCACCTCAACATCAATTGTCACCTGTCCATCACAACCATAACCCCGACATCACAATTTGTATCGCCATTATCATCATGACCACCTCGTCACTTTCACCTCATCGTCACCTCGTCACACACTCGACTACTCGCATCATCATCATAATGATTACCACCTTGATGTCAACACAAACGTAAACAAAAAAAACCTAACCATCAATTCCCCTGACATCGTCACCTAATCTCATAATCACCTCATCGCCACCTCATCACCACCTCATCACCACCTCATCGCGTGACAAACGCGATCACTAGCACCTGACATAATACGCATCTGGAAGAATAAGAATAATAAAAAATTACCTCATTACTGAAGCATCACCTCGTCACTTCGGCCGTAAAACTTCATCGCGTGATTAAACATCGCAGTCTTGACACGCAAAAAAATATTACCAACATCTCGTGGCATCGTCAGCTCGTGAAATCACCATCATCAATCATCATCATCGTCAGCAACATTGTCACGGCATGAGCATCTCCTGATTCCATCCCCTCGTTCCTCAAGCATCATCACCTCGTCACGGAATCACTACGGGGCAACCCGACATCGTCACTCCCCTTTTGTCGTTCTCGCAACGTCGCTTTTTAACATCGTCGTGAACCTCGTCACGTCACTCGTCACATCACGGCCACCTCCGACGTCAATGCCACCTCCTCACTCGCGCCTCCGCATCATCGTCACCTCGTCGCCTCAACTTTCCCCCTCCGGCGTCAAAAAACCGCAACCGTCGTCACCTCGTCAGCCCACCTCATCAAAACATCGTTCGCCCCCTCGTCGCCTAACCTCGTCACAATTGCTCCTGGTCCAGGTCTCGCCTCTTCAGACAGGTCATCTCCACGTGTCCGCAGCCGTCGTTCGTCACACGAGACGCAAGGCGACTCACCACCTCGTCATTGGCACACCTCATCTGCCGATAGCACACCTCAAACTGCCTCCTCCTCACCTGGCACCGTCATTAATAAATCTCTGCTGACACCATCATCACCTCGTTTAAAGTCAGGGAAAAGAGAGAGCAAGAGAGACGCATAACAAAGAAAGAGTGAAGAGGTGGAGGAAGCGAGGAGAGTAGCCCAGCAGGAGGAGGTGAATTAGGGGGAGGGCAATACGAATAGAAAGAGGTAGTAGACGAGGTTAAAGAGGAGGAAAGAGGTGTAAAAGAATTAGGAGTTGAAAATAAGTGAAGAGGAGTGGAGGAATTTAAGAGGAGCTGGGGCACCACGTGACGAGGAGGAGGCGAGGAAAAGGTGATAGGAAGAGTATATGAAGAGGTGATGGTGAGGAAGAGTTATATGAAGAGGAATCCAAAAGCTGAGGTGAAGAGACGAGGTGTTGAGGAATATGTGGGGAGGAGGTGGTGAGTTTCGGTAGAGGGAGAATTTGTAAAGGAGGAAGGGCTGAGGGGGGAAAACGACGAGGTGAGGAAGACGAGGTGAGGGCGAGCCCGTCGCATGGACAAGCGGCTATGGAGCTCTCTGCAGTGGGGGAACGCGTGTTCGCGGTGGAGAGCATCAAGAAAAAGAGAATTCGCAAGGTGACCACACAAGACACACCTACACACACACACTCACACCTGCACACACCTACAAAGGCAAAGACCCCCCGTATAGCCTTAACAGACTGTAGGGGCAAGTGCTGTTAGCGAGCACCTATGAAGGCCGGAACGGTACACAGGGGGTGGGTGGCCAGCACCACGCCCGACCGCCTTAGTCTCCCCAGTGGCGATGTTTACACACCGCACCAGGTACTCATTTGAGGCTGAGTCGACCTAGGGGAGGCCCAGGACCGGTTCAGATAATCGTCACTGGTGTTGGCCGTGAGCGGGAATCGAACCGGGGTCGCCAGGTTCATATGGCAGCGCGCTAACCGCTATACTACCGCTCCCCACTCACACATACACCTACACACACATACACCTACACACACCGACACACCCCTACACACACCTACACAACAACAACAACCGCCATTCGCCACTAAGTGGCGGTGACGTTACCACGATGCTTGTGCCAGGCTATGTGCACCTTGAGGCGACGTGAAGTGTCGAACGCCCGCTTGCAGGTAGTCACGGGGCAGACCCCGATGCCACAGGTCGACTGACTGAGACGACTGGCTGATGCACCACCTGTGCCAACTTGCTGTGCTTTAACCACCCGGCGCTCCGCTCGTTGTTGTGAGCGTCGCTCCTCCGCCCTCCGTTGTTGTTGGAGGGCGACTGCCTCCAACTGCCCAGTAGCGTCCTTCACGAGCCTCCTCCACAGAGGCCGATCTTGACACCGCTAGTACCAGTCATCGGCAAGTTCACTCAGCTCCACATCAATAAAGCAGAGATGTAGGTCTTGTTGGAATTCCCTACACCTCTGCTGTAGCAGACGGACAGAAAATGTGGCATCTGTGCAGGACTGCCCTCTCCTGAAACCACATGGGGGCTCCGCAAGCCTCTCCTCAGTGTGCCTGGCAAGGCGATGTTGAATAATCCTTGCCAGGACCTTTCCCGACACACTGAGGAGTGAGATGCCCCTGTAGTTGTTACAGTATGTGCGGTCCCCTTTCTTAAAGAGGGGGGCCACCAGGGCATCCTTCCAATCCTGCGGAACCCGTCCAGTTGTCCAGACTGTTGTTATGATGTCATGTAGGGCAGTCTATGCACAAACGCCACCTTCTCTCAGCATTTTGCTTGGGAAATCATCTCTGCCCGGTGCCTTTCCTGGTCTCAGGCTCTGGATCGCCTTCAGTACTTCCTCAACAGGGTGTGACTTATTCTTCCAATATTTGAGGCACCGCAGCCTCAACAGGGTTATCCCCACTTTGTCCCACAATATTTTCCAGGCTGAGCGATTTCCCCTCCCCCAGGACCTCACACAAATGCTCAGCAAATCTGCAAACCTGTTCCTCAGGGTCGGAGATTGGATCACCATTCTTTCCCCTAATGATGGTGGAAGGCATCTGACTCATCGGCCTTGCCTGCATCCCTCCACGGATGTTCGCCTACGGTGGGAGCATAAGTAACTACGACCACCACTCCTCGCCTCTGGTTGATGGGAAGGCGTGCCCAAAGTAGCCTGGGGCTTACAGCTTCCCACACCTCACCACCACGCTCCCATGCCCCCTTCATGCTTTTGTTCAGAAGAAGAGCCACTCCATGTTGTTTGGCAGTCTCCTGCCCCGAGTAGAGGACTGTCCACCCCTCATGGTGGCAGGAGCCAGAGCCGGTCCACCAGACTTCCTGAATACCACAGAGATCCAGGTGGTACCGGTCCAGCTCTCGACAGAGGAGTGGCAGCCTTTCCTCCACAGTGAGTGTTCGAACATTCCATGTGCCCATCCCGTAGTGGCTTTTTGTTGTTTCTGGAGGAGCCCCAAGGGTAAGGATTCAGTCTCCTGGCTCTGCCAAATGTGGTTTGGCCAGGAGACATCATAGACGCCTGTCCCCCGGGGGCCACCGGCACACCTACACACACACCGACACACACATACACCTACACACTTACACACACACCTACACACACAGACACCTGCACACACACACACCTACACACACACACCTACACACACACACCTACACACAAAAACAAAGATCCCCCGTATAGCCTTGAACAGACTGTTGGGGCAAGTGCTGTAAGCGAGCGCCTATGAAGGCCGTCACGGCACACGAGGGTGTCCAGCACCACGCCCAGCCGCCTTTGTCTCCCTACACATACACATTACACTCTTTACACCAGGGGTGGGGAACGTCCGGCCCGCGGGCCGTACAAGGCGCACGAAATCATTTGGTCTCTGGCCCTGCCAAGGCAACCGCAGGCGGGACTCGAAATTCAATAAATCTAGGAGCAAACCTGGAAAAGCAGTTGCGAGTAGCAACAACATCAATACCAGCTAACAATATCACACGCCTCGCCAAAGAGAAGCAGTTCCAGCCATCACATTAGGGGTGAGCTAATTAAATGTTTGACCAAATATAACAGGCTAATTTTTAAGTTGATAATTTTGTATGGCCCGCGAATGATGTTATAAATATCCAAATGGCCCTTGGCAGAAAAAAGGTTCCCCACCCCTGCTTTACACGCACACCTCAACACACATTCACACGCGCCGTGTGCTTGTGCAGAGGTGACGTTGTGTCACGTGATTCACCTCATCGCCCACCTTGTCGCCTCCACAGGGAAGGGTTCAATACCTGGTCAAGTGGAAGGGCTGGTCCCCAAAGTGAGTAGCACCTCATCATTACTTTGGTGATGGCGTTGGTGGCAGCAATGATGATGGTGATGATGGTGATTGGTGATGTTGCGAATGGAGGTGATCGATAATGGTCTTGATTGGTTTATTTTTACGGTGATGTGGATGGTGTAAATGTTGGTGATGGTGGTGGTAATGTTGTGGGTGGTGTGAATGTTGATGGTGGTGATGACAGATTGTGATGGTGGCGACTGTGATAGTGGTGATAATTGTGGTCATGGTAATTATTGTTGTCATGGTGATACTGGTTATGGTCATGATGGTAGATGAATGTGCTCGTCAGAGACTCATCTAATCATGATCATGAAGATGATGATGGTTGTGATGGTAATGATATTGGGGTCGGTGGTGATGATGAAGAAGGAGGTAATGACAGTTACAACCTATGATGGTGATCTGTAGGTAACGACGGTGGTGGTAGATTATTTACGTCTTGGATTTAGTTACACTTCTGTTGATGCTGCTCTCGCTCATGATGATGTTGATGATGATGCCATCAGGTATAGCACGTGGGAACCAGAAGAAAACATCCTCGACCCTCGCCTCGTGATGGCCTACGAAGAGAGGTGAGAAAGTTGGGTTTTGGTGAGGAGGTGAGTGTATGTACTGGCATGACACTTTGTGTGTGTCTGCGGTGGTGTAGCTGTTAGCGCACTGCGCTATGAACCCGGCGATCCGGGTTTGATTCCCGCTCACAGTCGACGTCAGTGACGATTATCATAACCGGTCCTGGGCCTCCCCTCAGTAAAATCTTCAAATGAGTATCTTGTGCAGTGTGTGAACATCGTCACTGGGGAGACAAAGGCGGTTGGACGCGGTGTTGGCCACCCACTCCCTCGTGTGCCATGCCAGCTTTCATAGGCGCTCGTGAACAGCACTTGCTCCTACAGTCTGTTAAAGCTATACAGGGGATCTTTGTTGTTTTTGTGTGTGTGGAGAGCGGTGGCGCAGTAGTTGGCGCACTGCGCTGTGAACCCGGCGGTCCCAGTTTAATTCCCGCTCATGGCCAACATTGGTGATTAATATCTGAACGAGTCCTGGGCCTCCCTTAGTTTGACTCAGCCGCAACTGCGCACCTTGTGCGGTGTGTATGTGTGTGTACAAAACATCAGCACTGGGGAGTCAAAGGCAGCCCGGCGTGGTTGCTGGCCACCCACCCACCCCGTTGTGTGCCGCGCCGGTCTTCATAGGCGCAACTCGCTAACAGCACTCGACCCAACGGTCTGTTAAAGGCTATCCGGGGGGATTGTTGTCTCTGTGCAGGGAGCAGAGGGACCGAGCGATTGGTCTGCGGAGGAGAGGCCCTCGCTCCAGGAGGCTCGTGCTGCAGGTCGGACGCTGCCTCCCGCAAACGCGTGTTGTCGTTAGAACTCTGGGGCAACCCGCGGTTGCCAGAGACGGCACCCTGCCGCCTCTCCAACCCATTAGAATTTACCAGAAAACGTCAATAACGCATCCGTCAATAACACTTTGGCCTCGTAAGAATAACATATATACTGTATGTATGTTGCACTTCTTTCACACCACTGTACGTAGCCAACCCTGCTAATCATATCAGGCATTGGCTGGCTTTCTTTTACATGTATGCGCCCTGCAGAAGGGTTATTTCCCAACACCTCGAGGCAATCCTGTTGACGAATGTGCTCGAGTGTTATTGGTTGTGCTTGTGCACCACCACTGCCAACGCAGCACCATGCAGCTTTATTGGCAGCATTGCATAGGTATTTAGTTTAACATTAGAAATGCCAGTCTTCCTGTGGTGGTTGTTTTTGCTCTGATTTCTGTTTGCTTCGCTGCTGTACTTAATAAAAAAACAGGTTAGATTCAAGGTCAGGGAAAGAGTCACGGCAAGGGTTAAAGAGTCAAGGTTAGGATTAGAGTTAGGATTAGAGGAAGGGTCAGGGTTAGAGTCAGGCTTATGGTCAGGGTTCGAGTCAATGTTGGGTTTAGAGTCAGGGTTAGAGTCAAAGGGTTAGAGTCAGAGTTAGAGTCAGAGGGTTAGAGTCAGGGTTAGAGTCAGGGTTAGAGTCAGGGTTAGAGGCAGAGTTAGGGTCAGAGTCAGGGTTATAGTCAGGGTTAGAGTCAGGGTTAGAGTCAGGGTTAGAGTCAGAGGGTTGGAGTCAGGGTTAGAGTCAGGGTTAATGTTAGAGTCAGGGTTAGAGTCAGGGTTAGAGTCAGGGTTAGAGTCAGGGTTAGAGTCAGGGTTAGAGTCAGGGTTAGAGTCAGGGTTAGAGTCAGGGTTAGAGTCAGGGGGTTAGAGTCAGGGTTAGAGTCAGGGTTAGAGGCAGAGTCAGGGTT